AACATTAAGTTCATTTGCCTAAGGAGAAAAAGCCACCCTGGATGACTCAGCCCCAAGAGGCACTTCTTTAAACACAACGCTGACCAGCACAAGGGTGTCAAATTGCCGGCCAGCGAGCTGGATGCATCATGCCAAAACCGCACCCTCCCTAGCTCCGGCAATGGGGGAAAAGTCACGATACGTCACAACACGTCACGTGGCGAGTTTGACACCCCTGATCCAGCAGGTGTGACTCAGCCCTTAGTAGGTTCAGGTCCACACTGAGTAAAGTGTGTACCAGTTCACAACAATAGCATTATTAACGAACTATAGGGTAGGGTAGGGTGGGGTAGGGTAGGGTGGGTTAGGTATAGGATAGGATGTAGAATAGAATGTTCTTTATTGGCCAAGTGTGATTGGACACACAAGGAATAAATTAATGTTTCAACATTCTTCACAGAATGGCTTAGCAACCATGAGTGGTAGTTCAGAAACTGCCCTATTCCATGCCAAAATTCCATCTGGCCTATTTATTTGACACACTGTACAGGGTCTCTAGGGTACCAGGTAGTGGTCTCTCTTAGGCATACTTGAAGATGCATTACAGAGAGATATCCTCTTCCTTAGTTCATGTTTGGGCCTTAAAAGAAGTTTAGGCTAAATTATAAGAAATCAGATAAATACTCCAAGAGAGCTTCATATTTCAAGTTCAAAGGAACTGCCATAAATAACTGAGACTGTTTATGAAGAGACAATATTCTGCAATAAAGCTAAACAGCAAACAAAGCTGTGTAGTTAATGTCTCCTGAGTGAACATCCATATTCCCAAATTTAACTTTTTTTTGTTTATCAACAGTTTTTTTAAAAAAAGCTTGGTTTCCTTAGTGGAGAGTTCTTAGAGACTATTTTCAATGCAATTCCTAACCAAAATGGATTACTAACCACAATGATGTCAAGGTTGGTGGTTTTCGACATAAGACAATTTTTGGGGGGATAATAGTGTGGAGAAATACCTTTTCTTAACAGGATTTCCCTTCAAGAGTAATCCATTAGTAATTAATTCTCCCTAGATAAGTAAAATCAAATCAAATGTTATTTGAGCAAAATTTACACATACATAGCCTAAGTGGTATAACTTCGCATAAGTTAATACCAAACCTAGAATTACCAAACTAATTGCCTCAAATGCATAATAAAAATACTTTTTTTTCTTCTCCACATTTTTCTTCTTTAATTTTCTACCACACTACTCAACATTTAACCACCACTATGTGTATCTTGGCTCAGAATCGTAGGTCTAGTCAATGTAAACCCAAAGTGGACCTAGGTTGGCCCAAAAAACTGATTGTGACATATCAGAAGAATACTGTGACCACTAAAAAAACTAAAAAAGTGATAAGTGAGAGCTGTATAATCTTCCTAGATATATATGTGGATAACTAAAAAAAAGAGAAACAACTTATGAGAAACAATCCATCGAGAAGATTCATCAGTAACATTAAACAGAAAAATAGGCAAATGTATACCCTAAAGAAATTGAGTGAATTCCATGTAAAATGAAATGGTCCAAAGTTTAAAACAGTGTAAAAACAAACTGCACAGATACAAATAGAGAGCCTGTGAATAAGAACATGATGGAAAATATATGGCAACAAAATAGCTCAAAAGATCTAAGACTCTTAGTAACCTAAAATTAAAACCATACTTTTCAGGAAATCTTATCCTAATGAACAGATTGCCAGAAGTAATAATGGTTTCTAAAATCCATTAGAGCAAAACACTTCCGAAATAATAGAACACTCCAAGGGATATTTACGAATCTAAATACTACTTAATTTGGAAAATTAAAATAATAAAACCTTCCAAGACTGAAACTCATCAGGAATGTGTACATAAGAGGAAGCAGATTTTCCTCTGATGTTCAGGATTTATCTCTTCTTCACCTCCTCATGTATCAGGAAAAAACTTCAAAGTCCTAAGGGTGTTTTCACGCACTGTATTTTTAGGTACATTTAAAAAGTGCATGTCTAAATATTTAAGAAGTGAACATGATGGAGATGTATTTTATGTGGGGCCGATGGATCAGACAGTAAGAGTCAGAACTGGCTTCAGGCCATTGTACATTATACATTTAGTGGCAATCCTAAATTGGTTTTTTTAAAAAAAAACACCTATACATATTCAACTCTATGCATCTATCTGTACAATCAACCTGAAAGCGGCAAGGATGGGTTTTTCATTCTGAAAAGAGGAAAAAAATATTTCCCCATTCTAATCCACTTCTATGAGATGCATGTGGCAAGGTATAATGGTAGTTATGAACAAATGCTTTCATTTTGTTTTCCCTTTTTCTTTCTTCACAGGAAATAAAGAGAAACTTGAGGTTTGAAATTAGTTCCTAGAATCTTGCTAGCTAAAGCCAGCAAACACCCAAGCATTTCTTTTCACCAAATTACCCCTATGGAAATTCATTATGGAATTTATTCACGCTATCCTTAATTCTGAAAAAAGCATATAACCAGGACAATTTGCTTAACCTTGTTCTGTTTATCAAAGTGGTCAACCTTTAAATTTAGTATTTTAACAATGCCATTTACAGGATTCTCTATCATACTAAGTATAATTATACAGGTCTAATTTATATGGTTACGCTTTTTTCCATGCTATTCTTTAAACAAGAGAAACCAGGCATGAATGTTTGTAAGGGTTACCCACTGACACTTGACTTATTCCAGCTTTTTCATGGATAAAAGAACATATATATATATACACATACACACATACATACATACATACATACATACATACATGCATACTACGAAAAGCATTTGTCTCAGTATTCCAGCAAGCAATAAGTAATGCATTGCACTGAATGTTATATATATATATAATTTAATGGAATACTGAGACAAACGCTTTTCATAGTCAATGAAAGCCATGTACAGAGGCATAGTGTACTCATGCCTGTCAATGACTTACTGAACAACGTGGACGTGATCCACTGTGCTGAACCCTGCCTGCTCCTTTGGCAGTGCATCTTTTAATGTTCTCAATATTCTTTTTGCTCTTATCTTGGTGAAAACCTTGTAGCTGGCTGAAAGAAGGCTTATTGGGCAATAGTTCTTTAAGTCATCTTGGGCCCCTTTCTTGTTTATAAGAATCACTTCAGCATTTTTCCATGAATCGGGTATTTTTTCTTCTCTGAGGCATCTTGAGTATAATTTTGCTAGTATCTTGTGTAAACTGTGACCACCAGGCTTACATAAACTTACTACAATCAACATATGAAAAAACAATGGCGACAATTTGTCCTAATGATCTTAAAGTGAAAATCAACGTAGGACGAGGTGTACAACAAGGTGATACAATATCACCTAACTTTTTCTCAGACTGCCTTGAAGAAGTATTTTGCAAATTAGACTGGGCAAAAGATGGGATAAAAATCAATGGCACCTATTTAAATCACTTAAGATTTGCAGATGATGTTGTTTTCTTCTCGCAAGACTCAGAAGATCTACAAAGACACACACAAGAGCTGCACAAAGCAGGAGAACCATTTGGCTTAAAAGCAAACCTGTAAAAGAGCCAACTTATGTTTAATAAATTCACTAAAGAAAAAAAATTATATCTGATGAAGAACTAGACATAGTAGATCACTAAATATACCTTGGCCAACGAATCTCAATGGAAAGTGATACAATAAAGAAAATTGAATGGCCTGTTAAATGTGGTTGGCAGGCGTTCAGCAAGCTAAGCATAATTTTCAAGAACCTCCCTCTATGCCTAAAAAGAAAAGTTTTCAATCAGTGTGTGCTACCTGCTCTAACCTATGCCGGTGAAACATGGACACTAACCTCACAATCAATACAAAAGCTACGAGTGGCGCAAAGAGCCATGGAAAGATACATGCTTGGCATAACAAAACAAGGCAGAAAGACCTGCACAATGGATTAGAGAACAAATGAAAATAAATGATGCCATCAAGAGAGTAAAAGAATTGAAACGGAAATGGGCTGGTCATAGAGCAAGAAGAACTGATGGCAAGTGGAACAAGGCAGTCATAGAATGGATCCCACTTGATAAAAAGCGTCCACAAAAGAGACCTAAAACAAGATGGATCAATGACATCAGCAGGTTTTGGGGCTCAATTGGCAAAAGAAAGCTCAAAACTGTATTGGTTGGAAACATGCAGAAGAGGCCTTCATCCTGCAGTGGATAGACAATGGCTAAGATGATGATGATGATGATGATGATGATGATAAACATTTTAGTCATCAAAAATAATCAGATTATTTTTAAAAAAAATTAACTTAGATTTACAGATGACAGTATGTCTTCAGCAGAGTTTCTATTCTGTGTATCTTCAGGATTGAGATGACACACTGCGTTAACAGTATGAGCATTAAAATAATCCCTATATTAAAGAATTTAAATGAGCTTTATGAACTGGTTTCAAGCAGTAGCATCACTCTGGTATATTGATTCCTCCAGCATAGGAGATATCAATAACTGAATTCCTAATATTAGAATATTAGAGGTTATTTCTTATTTATATTTGAATACCACTGAGTTTATTTTATTTACTTATTTACTTCAATTTTGAGGCCATCACCTCACATTCAAGTAACATTCTATTTTATTCAGCTTCATAATGTCCAAATATTACGTATCTTCATAAATCATATCTTTATCCTGTAAAAAGTTGCTAAATGAACAGATGAGAAATAACCAGGAATGAAGTAAGACACTTGAAGTTCTTCTTTCTCTCCGGATGTAACAGCAAGAAACCACAATGATACTCAAATCAAATTCTTCTAAATGCCTGTTTCTTCTTTTTGGCCACTTGCTTCTACTGAGCCATGATAGAAATTGAGACAAAGTACTACAAACGATTGATTAAAAAGAGATAGATAGATGTTTTTGCTGGCTCATAATCTCCTGAAGGAAAACACTGTGGATAGCAGGTCCAAGTGAGGAACATGTAACACTTCAGAAGCAGCTGGACTACAATTCCCAGCAACCTGCCACCATGGCCACTGGTAAAGAATGACAGTAGCTGAAGACATCTCAAAGCCTTCAGGCTCCCTGTCCCCTGCTCTAGTGGATGAGGTTTCCTGCAATACCAAGAGGAAAAAAGTGATGTTGAGATCAGTACTTCTTACACTTCCTCTTCCTGCCCCCATGTACCTCTCTGAATGCTGCAGTTCAGCTGACGGAACAGCTGCTCCATCATCTGTCCATTTCCTTTTAGAAGGGATATGGAGGTACTTTCTCACTGCTCCTTAGAACAACTGCTCCATTCGTGTGCCCTCTAGATTACGGGTGTCAAACTCACCACGTCACGTGATGTGTTACGACGTATCGCGACTCTTTTTGCATTGCTGACAATGTGGTGGGTGCGGCTTTGGTATGATGAAACCGGCCCATGGGCCGGCAGTTTGACACCCCTGCTCTAGATCCATGGGGATACCAGAATTCACAGCCAGCCTAGAAATAAAATAAAATAATAAAATAAATAAAATAAAATAAAATTGAATATTTTATTGGCCAAGTGTGATTAGACATATAAGGAAGTTGTCTCCAGTATGGAAGCAGCGTATTTGAAAGCCGACAGAGAAAATAATAATAATAATAACAACAATAATAAAAGGGGGAAGTAAAGAAGATAATAAAAGGAATAAATAATAATACTACAGCCATACTCTATGGGTTGATATACATACACATTAGACAGAACTGCAAGAATGAGGTGTTCAGCAGAATGATGGCACGAAGGAAAAAAGTGTCCCTACGTCTAGCAGCTAGCTGCAAAATAAAATAATAAAATAAAATAAAATAAAAACTAATTTTAAGCACCCCAGTCCCCTGAAGAATACCAGGGCTGGCTTAGCAGAAAATAACAGTGGATTGGCAGAGTTGACTCTGGCAGCCATGCGTTCTCCTTCTGAAGCAAGGCTACCCAGAAAAATCCTGGGCACCTGAAGGCCATCCCAACTTTCTCAGGGACCCTCTGTCTGCCCTCCGTGCCTGACTGGCAGCTGGTCAGCCAGAAGCTCCGAGTGTCCTCCCACCTCCCCTGCGTGGGCTGGAGCTGTGGCCTGGAACGGCCTTCCGGACGCCACCCTGGTACCTGCCCAGGCTGTTGCAGAACAGTCGGCTGCTGGGCGACTTCGCCGATCCCCAGCTGCTCCTTGAGGAGGTGGGGGTAGCTGAGGCAGTGCTTCAGCGCCGGCGGGATGTTGCCCATGGCGCCCGTCTCCCCTCAAGAGCCAGCAAGCCGCCCCCCCACCCACCTCCCGACGGCAAGGTCACCGCCACCCGCGCCTTGTGCGCCCAGCCATCTGCAAAGCCGGAACCCAGTGCCTGGCTGAGCGTGGGCGCAGCATCCGCCTCGCCCGGCCGAGGGAATCCCGGGCGATTCTGATTGGCTGAGAGGGATGCCGGGAGTTCGCCAGGCCAGCATCCTTGGGTCGCCGGAGGAGATCAGATCGGCGCGTTGCTCTGCCGCTCCCGGCGCTGAAGCCCTTTCGGGGACGGGGTCCCGGAGCGGTGGCCTCTTCCAGATTAGCATTTCGATCCTCTGCCCGGCTCGAAAAGCTGCTTCTGCCCCAGAAAGGTGGCGGATTGAAACTGGGTTAGTCGACGGGGTCTCTGTCCAGCAGGTGGCGGTTTTCAGGCTCTGCTGTTGCGCCATTAAAAATTATGGCAAAAGATCCCAAAGAGGGCAGTCAGACTAGGAACTTGCCAGGTGTCCACTATTTGAGAGGACAGTCCACTTTTTTCACATTATGTTGACTATTTTTTTTCACAAAATAGTCAACATAATGTGAAAAAAGTGGACTGTCCACTGTCCACTGTTTCACAAAATAGTGGACATTTTTTTTATTCAAAAGCTTTATGATGAAATGGTACGTAATCTAAAGCTGTACAGTCTACTTTTTTTACTACTTAACACCCCCCCCCCCCCGCTTGTCCGCTATTTTTGGGAAGCAGACCTGGCAACCCTACTAGGAAGAATTTCGAAAAGTTCATTAAGACATAACGTGATCAGCTGGGCATAATCGCCCATAGAGCATGGCAAGAGTTCCCATGCATCTGAGTTGAAGGCAAACGCTCAGAGATCCAAGACATTTCCAGGCACTGAGGCCTTGAGATATGCTAGATGTACAAAGGACCACCTTGGAAAAAAATACAGAGCGTCAAAAAGACAAATGAAGAACCAATTTAAATAGTTGTAATATAAATACAATTACAAGCCTGTAAATGTGCCAGTCCAAATGGCACTCTTGGACGAAGCTCCTTCCCTTCATTGATTTTTTAGGTTGGAAATTGCTGGGCCAGGTCTATGCACTACTCCTGTCCACAGTTTCAGATGGGTCTTTTCCCAGAAGTTTATCAATGAATTTGGGATCTTCTGTGTGCAAAGGAACCAGTGGCCCTGTTCCTTGACTGAGAGGGCAGCTGAATGAGGAACGGGATGCTTGTTTATAATCATAAGCAAGATGATCAAAACTGATGGATTTTTAGTCAGTGTGTAATTAAATTATAACCAGAAAAAAACAGTGCATTGTTTGATGGCATAAACTAGTGTCAAGCAATCAGAAAAGAATGAACTAAGATACTTAGATGTCAAAATTGGCAAAAAGTTAACGAGTTTACCAAGTAGGGATCAAAGCTTCATCTAGTCAGTCTCAGTCAACAAAAGTGTTTTTGACAAGCATGAAGCTAACACAGTCCAGACTACATTAGAGAAAACATTGGGTCTTACCAACAGTATAAGATCTATCATCATCACATCAACTTTAATTGGAGAAAAAATGTAAATAATTTATCATATGCTGTGTCTAGTTGCTCTACATTTATGGGAACTAGAAGACAGTGCTTCAGTGTATGAATCAGCAAATCATATCAGTAAATTGGTGTCTTTTGTATTGGTGACCTAGGGCTGAAGCTGCCAAAGTCTGACTCTGCCAGAGAGACACCAGGTTTTCAAATCTGACTTTGTTTCAAAAGATCACAAGTGACCCTTCCAGATGTTAACATTAATTCTTGCACTCACTTTAAAACTTTTTAAAGCATCTACCAGATGGTTCCCTTATATTGGAAAATTGCTTTCTGCAAGACTTGCTTCCATCTGCCATAAGGATCTCTACACATTAATCAAGAATCTTTATCCTTCCATTTTAGTTTTCTATCCAAAAGAAGGTTCTGTTTCCTTCCTTGTCTTTGCATGGGATTTTGGCAACTTTGGCAATTAATAAAAACTTATTCATGTGAACATCAAGGTTTTTCCTACCGAGAACGTGAGAGAGATGGAATTTATTTGTGCAAGTGAGCAATTTTCCATTCAACTTCTTAAAAGCCACTTCATTGCTTTATTGTTCATAAGAAGTTCATGGTATAATCTAGAGAAGGACTGGAGAATTTTCTGTTCAAGAGTTTACAAGAGAAGAAAATGGATCTGCATTCCCTGGCATCTCCAGATAGGACGGAGATTCTTTTATGAATCCTAAGCCAGCAATAACTAACCTAGTGGTGAATAATGTCCATCTAGGTTCCTTAATAAAGGACCTCAAACAAAACCTTTTCCATGCCAAAGCTTTATTCTGTCCACTCTGCTTATACAATGTATGGAAATCTATTTAAGCAGAAGAAAAATCTGTTAGAAGATAAGAGAAACATTTATTTCTTTCCAGTATCGCTTGGTGTGGGTGACATTTGGACAGAAGGAGAGTTGGACCTTGGAATGGATTCTGTTTCCAACCCTTGCTGACAATAGTCCTGGCCTGGATAGGCCAGTGATCTTATCAGTGATCTTATATTTCTTTGTTTCTGAAATTCAGGGAGGATTGCTAAACTGATTAGTTGAAGTCAGTTTGCAACAAATCATCCCTAAATCACACTATATTTTATTAAACCTAGTGAAAGAAAGAAGTCAAAGGTATAGAATCCTTGAAACACTTGTGGAATAGTACAGATGTATTTGTGAATTTAAAAATACTGAATTTATAAATGGAGTACTTTTACATAGAACTCATACTGAAATGAATACTCCATTATATTGCAGGCCAGCCATTGTCCAGGAAATGGAAACTGGGGGGCTGTTGAGACAGCATCTTCATGAGCAAATTAGTGTAACTTGTTAAAATAAGTTGTGTGGTTAATCTGAGACTAACAGGGTGAGAGATAATTGAAAACACATTTCCTAAGGAATGATATCTGAAAACAGTGGTTCCACTTTTGAAAACAAACTGCAAATTATATTCCCATACAGTTAACAAAGCAAATAATTCCTTTGATTCTTAACACATGGAGTTATGACAAATACATAAAATATGTGTATGTGGTTTTTAAAAAGAAAATACTGTCCAAATTACAGTATGTGTGTGTATTTAATTTAATTTGTTGTGCACAATGGATGTTTCACCTGAAAATGGTTAGAGGGAGGAAGGTCTGTATGATTATAGCAATGTAGGAATGAGAGACTAGCCATCTATTATATATGGATATATCCAGAGGTATATTGTATAGAATTTAAAATAAATAGAATGGCTGTGAATGTTCATAGTTAATGAAATAAACCATACACTGGCCAGCTGAGATTAGAAAGGGAATTATGCTATGGGAAATCATTTCATTTTGCCTAAAGGCAATATTGGTTGATTTACATATGTGTGTTGAATACCACAGAGATATAGAACAAATTAAAAATTAAAAATTAACATTTAAAGATTATTTTAAAATGTTAAAGAATAATTATCAATTCAATTCATTTTTAGAGTTCTTGTTTAAGGCCTCAAACATCTTTCTGTGTTCCATGAGACATAATGAAGGAAATTGTTTTTACTGGCAGGAGTTTAATTAGCATGTTTAGGTTATTGGAGTTGAAGATAAACAGTTAGTTGTTTTATTTACTGACAAATAGTACATTCCTATGTATGTCAGGAGAAGGAAGTTTGAGTAAGTTCATTTAACACCAGGCAAGTGTATACAAATGATTGCAGTCTAAAACAAATACACATACTGGAGTCCTGCTAAAATTAGAAGGATTTAAATGTCAGTATATTTACACAGGATTGTACTGTAAACTCATATGCCTTATTATCATCTTATTATTATACAGTTTATGATTTGATATTAGATGTCATAGCTATGTTAACTAACTTTTCCTACAGTGCTTTGTTCCATAAGCTTTAGACAGCACTTCTTCCAACAGTTTGTTAGTCAGATGAAAATGCAAAAGAGATCCCTTCAAAGTGCATCCTCTAAGTTCAAAGGGGCAGTTGCAGTGCCTCACTGATCATAAGTTATACCTGCACATGTACAGAAACCACTTCTTTGCAGCAGACAAAGTGCAGATGGGCTCCATGTCAACACTTCATGGAGGCAGAATGCAATACTTTCATGCAATATTTTGCTGCATTGAAGAGCTTAATCAAGCAGATTGAACAATGAGGAATCCTTGGTGCTCTCTGAGCATGGCTGTATTCTTGCAGACCTTTCATTACCAAACTAAATAATATCATCAGTGCACATTACACAGATTGAACAACATTTGCATAGTCTTAGTGTCTTCCATTTAGCATTCTGGTTTCCATCTTTGTTTCCCAAGCAAAGCTACTAATAATTCTTATTTGAGCATGATCCCATTATCTACAACTTTTCCTTAAGCATTCATTCACATCTCCTATACTATATGATCATGTATAGTATACTCATTATCTCCTATATTGGATTCAAGCTTACTTGTTTTGAGTTCCATAGTCATGCAGTTTATTCCCATGGCAGAAATAATGTGAGAAGGATTTATACATATTTAGTGAATATTCTGAATCATTCTCAAATTCTTGGCATAACTATATCTGACTCATGATGAGGCATGCAAATCAATCCTTCCAACATTTGGAATTTAGTCATGGGAATGACTTATGAGAGCCTTTTCTGATTAACCTATCCAATGGTGGGATTCAAATATGTGAACAACCAGTTCTCTGTGTGGATGCCATTTCCGGAAGTCCATTCTGTGCTTGGGCAACAAAAAATTAGCTACCAGTTCTGCCGAAGTGGTGCAAACTGGCTGAATCCCACCACTGAACCTGTCACAAGTAAACCCCTGTGGCCACAATGTTTAGTGTCTTTGTTTAAAAGTAACAGATCATTCATCCAAAATGAATCCTAAATACATGTGTATTCGTTCCTTCCTTCCTTCCCTCCCCCTCTTTCTCTTTTTCTTTCTTCTTTCTTTCT